CTGTAAAGGAGCCCAAACCCCTATTCTAAAGTATGAAGGCCTCTACATTAGGGTTCGGCCATATTCCTCCGTCTTAGGCGTTGCCCTGTCCATCGTGGATACGCTGGGCTGCATGTGCGCGGCTTCGAGACTTGGGTCACGTTGGGCCGGTGCTTGGAGATGCCAAAACCCTAAAGCCTAAACCCTGAACCCCAAACCCTAAACCCTAAACAGTAAGCCCTAAACCCTTAACCCTAAACCCTAAACCCTAAACCCTTCATAAGCCTGACATTGCCGGATAGAGAATTCGAAACCCAAGATTTGAGCATGGCTCTGCGTCTACAGACATGAGGATGTCTCAGTTTCTGACGAATCCTTTAAAATGAATTAGGGTTTAGGGTTTAGCGTTTAGGGGTTTAGGGTTTAGGGTTTAGGGTTTAGGGTTTAGGGTTTACGGGGCTTAGGCGGTTTAGGGTGCAAGGCTTAGGCCGGCTCTGCGCCAGAGCTGTACCCTGTGGCTCCGGCTTGGAGTCGTCATGTCTTCCTAAGGCGTAGGGCTTGGGGTTTAGGGTTTAGGGTTCAGGGTACAGGGTTTAGGGTTTAGGGTTTGGGTTTGGGATCTAGGGTTTAGGGTTTAGGGTTCAGAATCCGTATCAGTTCTGGTGCACAGACTCCATGCATTCCTCTCCCGACTTGTGTCCAAAGGACACGGCAGGAAGGAGCCATACTTCCAAGTATCCTCAAAGTTTGAAAATGGAGCGACGGTTTTTCCTCACCCTTGGAGTGGGGTAACTTAGACCCTGGCCCCTGCAACATCGTGTGGCTATGTGGCCTTGCACCTAGGGAAACCGGAGTAAGGATGAGTCCACAAGGAGAAGAGAGCCTTGATCCGTTTTGTCCTGTGACTTCTGGTTCAGGGTTTAGGGTTTAGGGTTTAGCCTTAAAGCAGAATCCCCGAGACCCCTGTGCAGTGGCCCCCAAACCCAGTAAACGACCCTAAACCATCTGTATACCTCAAATCCTATAAATACAATAGATCTAAACCCCAAAAAAGCTTGCACATACTACGAACCCTGCTACCAGCGAAACGGCCAACCCTAAACCTCATACAATGGAGGGGCCTAAATAATTACCTATACTGTTTTGGGGCTTCCTTAATATAGTTACAGTGCAATATACCCCCAAAGCCCTATTCTAAATTATTAAAGCACCTATATTAGGGGCCTTAATAACTAGAATAGGGTTTTGAGGGTTCCTTATTACAACCCAAGAATCCTATTCTAATTATTAAGGCTACGAAGGCCCCTACATTACACTTTAGAAGTCTTCGGGATGGAAAACGGTACTGAACAAAAACCTTATGAACCCTAGATCCTACTTGGAGGACCACGGGACTTAGTAAGTAAGGTTATAAGTCCCCTAATTGGGGTTATAAATATAGTTACCTTACTTATTACCCTACTTACTATCCCATGGTCCTTTAAGTAACCCAAGCCGAATCCTTCAACACGGTTTAGGGTTTCGGGTTTAGGGTTTGGGGTCTCATAGACCCTCAACGCTAAGCAAGTACATCCCAAACCCTTCCCAAGGAAGCTGAGCTCCACACCTCCTGAGCTCAAGAGCCCAAGCCCCCTGTAATGTACTATGGGTGTAGGCCTTACCTGGGCCCTAATTCACCTATTTTTTAAATACTTACCCTAAAAAGGTAGGTTCTTTGGGGTCCCTAAACCCTAAACGCTAAAGCCTCCGATCGGGTGAAGTCTCGGCTACAAGTTGCCCAGCCCTGAAAGTGCCACGTGTCCGGCAATGTGGAGGCCGGTGCAGTAATGTTTTCGGGCTCAGGGTATAGGCTTTAAAATCTAAGGCTTAAGGTTAAAGGTTTAGGGTTCAGGGTTTAGGCTTCGAGGTTAAGGGCTTAGGGTTCAGGGTTTGGGCTTTAAAGGTTTAGGGCTTAGGGTTCAGGGTTTAGGCTTTCAAGTTTAAGCTTTAAGGAACACACGAAGCGAGCTTGGGGCCTAACGGTCTCGTAGAGATACCCATACTAGTCTTCAGGGCTTGGGGTTTAACAGGGTTTAGGGTTTAGGTTTTAGAGGGTTTGGCAATTTCGTGTTTCGGGTTGAAACGTGTTTAGGGTTTAGGGTTTTGGGTTTAGGGTTTTGGGTTTAGGGTTTAGGGTTTAGGGTTTAGGGTTTGGGTTCAGGGTTTCCCAGGAGCCCGCGCGCCTCGACATAAAAGGTCGTGGCGGCGCACCTTGCTCAGCGATCCGGTTTGGAAAGGGCTTAGGGTTTAGGGTTTAGGGTTTAGGGCTTAGGGTTTCAAAGGGTTTAGGGTTTAGCACCTGAGGGCCCCTCCTTAGAAGAGTTTTTTTCGTATACTCGCTATGGTTTAAACTCGCAGGGCCCGCTTAGAGTGTTTCAGCCTCTAACATGGAAGGACCACTCGAATTAGAGCAACCCTGTTCTAGCCATCATAAGGTTTAGGACATGGGTGGTTGTCAAAATTATGGTCCCTTTTTGGGTCCTTACTATAATACGGCACCTATTATTTAGGGGTACCCCAAAAGGGACCCTAATTTTGACAACTACCCACATGGGTCTTCGGGACTTGGCATGCAGCATGTATAAAGGCTTCAAGTTTAAGGATTGAGGGTTTAGAGTTTAGGGTTTAGAGTTTAGGGTTTAAGGTTAAAGCCTTTAAAAATCGAGGCTGAGAGTTTCAGAGTGTTTGCTTTGCTTTCCAGATCCCCTTGGCATAGTCACGAGACTCGTAGGAATGGGGCGTCTCGTCTGAAGAACATCTTGAGAACTCGGATAACCTATATAGCCCTAAACCCTAAACCCTAAACCCTAAACCTTAGAAGCCTGAAGGATCAGCAATAATGTAGAGTTTCTCATTACGATATCATCATACAACGGATCAACAAACCAATTCGAGTTGGCCTGGCCCCTCCATTAGCCGCAAGACCCCTAACAACCCCGGGCTCTCGCAGACCATCCGCCTCCAGGCATTTTCGGGGCTAAGCAAGGTTTACCTGTAGTCTCCATTGTAGTTCCTGTTTGGGGATACCCTATAAAATACATGGGTGGTTGTTAGAATTAGGGTCCCTTTTTGGGGTACCCTAAATAATAGGCGCCGTACTATAATAAGGACCCAAAAAGGGACCATAATTTTGACAACCACCCACATATAATTGGTTAAACCAAGAACAGGAACGACAATGGAGACTATAAGTAAGTTTAAGCTGTACGAGTTCCCAGCCTGAGCCGCGGCTTCAGGGGGTGAAAGGCCCGAAGAACAAAGACCAACGAAGATCGGTTTAGGGTTTAGGGTCCTCTTGTGAACCCTTGTAAACCTCTAGGTGGCCGAATCCCCTCTGAAAGTTCGTCGTGGCTCGTAACCTTTCCCCAATTACACAATGCATAGTCGTTTCAAACCCTGCGGAAAGCCGGCATGTCGCATTGAAATGGATGGTATACGACAGTCAGCATGGACATCTGATTGATCATTTCTAGCAGTATCGTGTCTAACTCAGTTATAGGTATTCTTTGCAGCGATAAGTCGCATTTCTGCCAAACTGGCTTTAGTATTCCTACGTCAGTATCTTCACGGCTGTAGCAATACTTACTACCATTGAGATAAGGACCAACCACAACATGATTGACCACCATGCCCATGCCTCAACACGTTTGCAAACAACCCCTTTCAACCACGCACACCTAGACCCTACTTCCACGGTTTGGATCTTGAGGAACCAAGTCTAGGGTGTAGGATTTGGGATTCATTCAAGGCCATGGCATGGGGATTGAGGCTTGCCGTCTTGACGCCTAAATAAGTCACAGACATCCTAAAGCGCCCTGTGTTCCCCGGAAGTATTGAGCCTGCAAATCCAGTTTCGTGAGAAATTGTTTGCTGGTATGGTTGAGGGCAGCATAACACCCCTACACTCTAAATGCTGCGGTACAGGGCCTTCTTCTCATGCCTTCTCCTCATCGGCTGCCGGGCAGTGCAGGAAGATGTCTGCGAAAATGATGGTTCATCTTCTCTTCAGGTCGCACGTTCTACCAAACATCAGGGTTTCAGAAAAGCAAAGGTGACTTAAGTAGCGGTGCCTTAGAGTCAGAACCTTATTACTTTCAGACCACCCTAAACCCTGAACCCT